GTATTGAGTGGAAAATTACTGAAAAAAAAAAAAAGGACATAGCCCAGAATGTGAAAACAGGAAAATACCGTCATGTAATCCATTTATTTCAACAAAGTAACTGTAATCCAATTACCCCTCATTGAAACAGTAACTGTAACTGAATACAGTTACTCATAATTTCTACTCTGATTACATAACGCCTGTACATGTAATTTGTTACTCCCCAACACTGTTCCCACTGCTCCTCAATGCTGTTTAAATCCATTTTGTTTTCAGACAGTGTTAAAACTTAATTTTCAGTGTTTGCTCATGTGTGCATTGTGTCTCCATGGTAACTGCTGAACATTCTGTCTTCAACATACAGGCAGAACACCTCCAGCGTGATGTCACTGCAAAGTATCAGTAAGTTTGTGTTGTGAAGTATTATTTTATATGGTAAAGGTAAGGTTAGGTTAGGGGTGTGACAATATTATCAAAAGTTGTAATAAAAACACAAACTGGTGTAACATTTAAAAGCCCATATTACACAAAATTGACTCTTGTGAGTGTTAAAACACGTTAGATCCTTGTTACCTCATCAAACACAGACCTAGACTTGTGTTTTGTTTCACTCAGACAAGTTTAAGTAATCCTGCATTATTACTGTCTATATGTCCAAAGCCCAAATTGCTCTGTTCCACCTTGTGATGTCATGAAGTGGTCATTTTCAAGTTAATTGCAAATCTCCACTGAACAGAAGATAGAAAGTATCTGACCTTTTGTTCAGTAGAGATTTGCAATTCCAGGAGTGAAATGATCCAAGTGATTCTAGTGAAGGTGGATGGAGTTTAAAAACACAGTGGAGCACTTCCTGTATAACTACAAGTTGGAACAGAATGTTTTCTGTTTTAGAGAAGAACTCAGCCTAAATCTGCAGGTGTTGAGAGTTAAACATGTGTGAATGAAACAAAACACAACAATGCAAGATGTGAAAAGTGTGAAAAAAACAAAACGCAAAAAAAAAAAAATAAATAAATCAATCAAATTAAACCAAATAGAGAGAGAGAGAGAAAAAAGAAAATTAAATAATAATAATATAATAATAACTGAGCATTCTGAGCTTTGGAGATGTAGACAGAATAATAATAAAGGTGTTTTTTTCTGGTACACCTGTCAGTCTATACAGGTGAAATGTGATGAATCTACTTCTGACTTTTTTAGGATCAGGAGTTCATCAGCGTGAAATCCTGTCTCCCCTTCTGATTAATATTTATGTTGATGACCTGTCTGTGCAACTGAATGATGTAAAACTGGATGTTTTGCTGGTGATTATCTGTATAACCATTTCATGTTTGCAGATGATCTCGTGCTGCTGTGTCCTTACAGTGCAGGTCTGCAGCAGCTTTTAAATATCTGTCCCCAGTTTGGCTTTGAACATGACATTAAGTACAACGCTCTGTAAAGTCACATTATGACCATTAAAACAAAAGAGGACAAAAAGCTATCCTCCTGTTTTCTCTTTGTGCGGGAGTGCCCTCCAACTCACAGATGAGGTCAGATATCTTGGGCATTATATCACCAGTGACCTCTCACATGACAGAGACATGTGTAAGCTTTACGGTCAGGCCAATATGCTCGTCCGTAAGTTCTCCATGTGCTCCAGCGATGTCAAAATTGCACGTTTTAAATGTTTCTGCTCGCCCTTGTATACTGCGCATCTTTGGAGTAACTACAAGAAAAAGAGTTTGCAGAGTTTGACAGTGGCCTACGAAGACTCTTTGAGAATATTACTGAAAGTGCCGAGGTTCTGTAGCGCCAGTGAAATGTTTGTGCCGTATTTTCCGGGCTATCACGAATCCACTCAGGTGTCCCAGCATGACTTCAGTAAACTACAAAGCCGCACCACCCTCAGAACACACAAACACACACGGAGCAGACAGCGACCGCGCAACGAAACCACCCACAGACACACTCATCACTCCACACCGACAAGAAATAGAAAGGAGGAACGAACCGAAAAAGCGAGTGCAATGTGTCAGTTCTAGACACAGCTGAACAACTGAGTCACTGCGAACACGCCGACAATCCGTTGGTCCCAGACAGCACCCTCCCTACACGCCACAACTGAACAAAGACCAGAGTCACCGTGAACGCCACAAACAAACAAAACCACTCACCCATCACACTGTTGTGTTTCCTTTAAAGTCCGGTGCAGTTTATTTGTGAAAAAAGTTTGAAAATAGACCATTTAAAGACAGTGCGCCTTATAATCCAGAGTGCCTAATAGCCCGGAAAATACAGTAAATTGTGATGTGAGAACCTGTGTCGTCACAATCAGATGTTGTATTTATTCATTTATGTGTAGAGTCATGAATCTGAACAATCGAATCATTCGCGCTCTAGTGTGTCTGTGAGGAGCTCTGTCAGATTCACCTCTAAACTGTGGAGATACTGGCGCTCTTGTCTGTAAACATTATAACATGCACTGTATTTGACTTTTTTATTCTTACTGTTTTCTTTTTAATACTATGAACTGGATATTGTGTGTTCTTAATAAAGATTGAATTGAACTGAATTGTTAAAACGTGTTGAAAATGAAACAAAACACAACTCCAGGTCTGTTTTTGATGAATATTCTAACTAGTGCTGTCAAGTGATTAAAAAAATTGAGAGATTAATTAATTATGATCTGTAATTAATTAATCTAATTAATCTCTTTTTTAATCTCACCTAAAAATGGCTGAGAAAAGCTTCAACTTGAGGTATTTTCATTTGAATTCATTATTACATTATTTTCATAGTATCATTAACGTTTTTATATAAGTAATTATCATCATTATTACTATTACTAATCTGCATAAATAAATTCAGCTTTACAATATATTAACATAAACACTCTAGAGACACATCAGTCTGTTTGACTTTATCATGTGTTTAATGCAGCTGTGCGCAAGTCTCACAGAAACCAAACTTAAAACCTCATGGCTAATTTGCATAAACTAAGCGAAGGAAAGAAAAAAAAAAACGCTCGTGTCGCTGATGCGGTTCAGCTTCTACTAAGGGACAAGACTCAATGGAATATGAGTGTTCTTATTGTGACAGAGGGGTGTTGATGTGATGGTGAGTCTGTTCTGTGTCTGTGTCACGATGTTTTCAGAGATCAGACGTGTGCAGGTTTATCACAGATGCAGCAAGAACGGGAATGAAAATTAGGCTACAATTCTTTGCGGGAGCGAGTGGAGCAGGACTGCACAGTGCGGGACTGTGTCCTAACAACACATAAAAACAGATTTTATAATAAGGCAACTCACGTACAGAAACAGTAAAGTTAGAGATTAAAAATAAGATTAACGTGATTAAAAAACATAATGTGCTAAATATGACTGTAATTAATTAATCGCAATGAACGCGATAATTTGACACCCCTAATTCTAACGTGGCTAAAAGCTCCGTCAGTTTTGCATAATATCGAACCTTTAAGCAGTGAAACGGCAGCACACCGAATGAGTCCGTGCATACGTGTTCTTGGCAGGGCAGCGTGTGAAGAGTCCAGTGAGCAGTCTGTGTGAATGACAGGCCAGGAGGGAGGGGTGACACCGGGGGGAGGAGACAGAGGAGGAGGGAAGGGCTCGGAGTAGCGGACGGGAGGGGTGTGTGTGTGTGTGAGAGAGAGAGAGAGAGTGTATGTAGCACGCTGTCCTCTCCGCTCCGTAATGCACTGTGAACAGGCTAGTCACACGGCCACCACCATCCCTACCCCCCTCTCCCCACAACACGTGTCCCCGCTCCGAGCTGCCTTCGCTGGGATACACTCACCTCCTCCCCAGCCTGGATAAACACCACCACTTGTCATTTTTTTCCATCTATTCCCGGCGAATGCCAAGCGAGCCGCTACCTCTCCACCTCCGAGAGCCTGTCCGCTACCTGCTCCGGACTCCCTCCTCCCCTCCTGTCTCTCCTCCTCCTCCTCCTCCTCTCCCTCTTCCTCGCTCCATTCATTCATCCCTCGTTCACCGGCATGCTCCTGTGAAGGGCACACCAGCTCCGCGCTCGGCTGTGCTGTAGTGCGCTGCTCAGAGGGGAAGGAAGAGTTGAAGACATGAGACGTTACGCCTGATAGACCTCTCTCTACCTCCTTGGACCCGTCTCGTCCGATCCCGTCGCTGTCTTCTTGTCCATGAATGTCACCTCTGCCTTTTTGAGGATTTTTTTTGAGGATTCATCTCAGGGTGTGGGTGCGAACGGAAAAAAATTGTGATGCCAGGGGAGATAAGGAGAGAACCAGTGCGTACAACGTCCCATCAAGATACCTCAGGTTGGTGGTTGTTCTTTCTCTACTTGAACTACTCCAGGACAGTCCCAGAGACGAGTCCCAGGTAGTAGGGGGGGCAGGGTGGAAGGAGGGAGCCGCAGTGTGCCCCAGCAGTGACACGTAGAGTTGTTAGCGGGACATACAGTACCCGTTTGGACGGACCTGCCAGGGTTAACGGACCTCATCTCGAAACGGGACGGGAATGCGACAGTGGGTGCAATGTTGCTCCGGTCTGGGTTGAGGTAACTTTGCCCGATTTCTACATGGGAGTCGTTGATTCCGTGCGCTCAGAAAGAGGCGGATTGCACTGTGAAGAATTTGTTGATGTTTCGGATAGTCGGATGTCTTCACTGAGAGGCTGTGACGTACCTTTGTGACGACTAAGGACTTTAATCCATAAAGGCGAATATTTTTGTTCAACATTTCCAAACTTTAAGTGGAATCTTCCCTGATGTCCTGACATATGAATTGCGACGTACTTTAAGAGAAGAAAATATTTAAGGAAACATTTTGTGATAACAACGTAGAAGAGTTTGCTTGTTGGCGAAATCCACCATTGCTATCCTCAACAGCCTAGAACTTTGCGCCCTACGCCTCGCAACCCTCGCCCAGCTTTGCCCCCTCGTCGCCCTGGGTGAGTGGGCAGGGGGGTGGCCCAAAGTACCCCCCGACACCCGGGCGTCACCGAGCCACCCGAGACCGGTGACAGGGCAAGAGGGTCCCCAAGATGGCCGCTCTCGCCAGCTCGCTCATTCGCCAGCGGCGCGAGGTGAAGGACCCTCAGCAGAACCGGCAGATCGCCAGCAAGCGCAAGCCCTGCCCCAAAAGCAACAAGTCCCTGTGCCAGAAGCAGATTCTAATATTGATATCCAAGGTGCGGTTATGTGGCAGTCGAGGCAGAAAGATGGAGAAAAGACCGGGTGAGTCCAGAACTTTATCTGACTTTCGTTTTTATCGTTCGCTGGTTTTGTTTTGTTTTTTGTTTTTTTGGAATGTTGACTTGGTTTTAAGGTTAGACTTAGGCAAACTTTATTGACCCACAAGGGAAATGACTTGGACACAGTAGATCACACATCACAATATAATATAATAACAAAGACAAAAAAAAAAAAAAGGGTAATAAACGTCTAAAGAAGTAGCAATAAAACATAGCAAGAGACTGGTATCAATAAGACATCAATTATATAGATGTTTGAGCAGTAAGAACAAACAAATATCATAATATAAATACAGTATGTCACAGTTATATACAAAAGGTCACAAGGAAACACATGTGGTCATAGCAGCTTGTCAAAGCCTGATCCCATCAGATCTCAGAAGCTCAGCAGGCTCCGTCTGGTTAGTACTTGGATGGGAGACACTGGGAATTCCAGGTGCCACAGGGGGGCGCCAGTGGCAAAAAAACTGTTGTTGTGTCCTTAGGCAAGACACTTCACCCACATTGCCTAGTATGAAAGTGGTGTGTGCGTGAGTGATGGTGGTGGTCGGAGGAGCCGATGGCGCAGATTGGCAGCCTTGCTTCTGTCAGTCTGCCCCAGGGCAGCTGTGGCTACAATAGTAGTTTACCACCACTGAGTGTGGAGTGATATTAATACCCAGATATTAATTGACCATTAAACTAGATTGTAAAACAGATACACAGGGCATGTATTGATATTGAAAATAACATTTGGGCAAATTTTGAATTGAAAAGTTTTGGAAATATCTGTATACTTATTTTATATCAGAAGTGAATAAAATGGATCAGTAAAATGAGTACTACTATTTTGTGTTAGTTGTATTAGACAGGCTTGTTTTGTCAATGGAGCTGGTTTTGGCACAATTGAGACTTTCAGCTGAGTATTAAAAAAGTCATTTGAAATTGTAGTTACATGACAACACTACACCACTGGACAATAATTAACCTACAAACTGAGAAGCTATCTGAAACCAATGGTAATAGGTAGCCCGTCACTTAAGCCTACTTCTTTAGTTGCTGATTGGCCTACTTTGGTGATCACTTGACTGAGAGACTGAACCCTGCAATATTGTGCTTAAATCATGGACGTAAAGTATGTGAACTCTTCCCTCAACAGAGTAAAAGGAGTGGAGACTCAGAGCATCAAAAAACGAAAGTGAAACTCATAAAACGCAAACACGAATAAATGCAAATATGTTCCGTGTTAGCAGTTAATACCCTCTCGAAGTCAAATACCGGCTCTTTAAGGATAAATGAATTCAGAAAGCTTTTGTTAATGTTGGAGAGGCATTTTTAAAACCAGGAAAGAACATGAATCAGGTTTTTAAGTATCCTTGCGCTGTGTCTTTGTTGAGCCTGATTTGAGTCTAGTTTAATCTTGACGTAGACTTGGTTTGGACCTGTTCTAGTCCTAATTTAGTCCAGTTTTAGGTGTAAGTTTTTTCCAAGTTTAGTAAAAATACAGATGAAAAACAGTGATATGTGTACAGAAACCATACGAAAATGTGTCATCTTCTACAAACCAGGACTTCACCTTGATTAACTCTGAGCAGAGTGTTTTATAGCAAGGCTGACTCACAATCAACATGGCGTTTCTAGCATCCATTATCTAATCAACTTGTCATACAGTTTGTCTTTTTTATTATTTAGGCTAATACTCTGCACACTTGACACTACATCCTAACCCTCGAGCGAATAAACACGCGAAACACTAATGAGCCAGCTACTCTGAAACAACATCAGCTAAAAAAAAAAAAAAAACAGACCTCGACCTCACCCATCGCTTTAATCTTCAGCTCCGTCCGCGCCTCCCACTGCAGAGGCCGGCGGCGCGTCCCCGTCCCCCGCGTTGACGACTCTTTTTTCCAGCCCGAGGCGCCTCTCACACGGGGCAGTAATCCCGGAGCAAACTTGGCTCATCCGCGACCGTGATTTACCGCGGCGTAAAAATGTCAAGGGGAGCCATTACTGATGCGTGCACCCCCCCTCCTCCTCCTCACCCCCCCCCCCTCCCCTCCCCGAGCCCGTGTTCTCACAGCTTGGCGTTATACCGGCAGGATCCCAGGGCCTGTATGTTAACTGTAATTGCCAGGTTATTGATTGGGGACCCAAATGAGACGCTTGATTTGTGCGGAGTGATCAGCGAGCGTGATGAGCGGGTCCGCGGGTGAAGGTAGATAGGAGGAGCGGAAGATTTGGAGGAGGTAATTTCGCTTTCGTATAGTGTACCTGGTGAAATATGCGGGCAATTTAGCCGGATGATTGTGTGTAAATGGGGGGGGGGAGTTGACGTACACTTTTGCGGCGGATACAATGCGGCGGCGGTTCGATAGGGCAAGCTGCGGAACGGATGGGTTATGGAGGCGCTCGGCTTTGTTTGTATTCTCCTTTGAGTTTGTACTTTGAAAATTGTGGAAATTGTGGTTTTGTCCTACTGCAGACCTGGATTAGGCCTGGTTTAGGACCTTGTTTAGACCTTGTTTAGACCTTGCTCAGTCTTATTTATAGACCTGGTTTTGAAATGATAATCAGATCCAGGATAAATGCATTTTTTGTTCAGTTTTGGCTTAAATTCTATACAGAAATGTACTTTGAGAGTTGTGGAAATTGTGGGTTTGTCCTACTTCAGACCTGGTTTAGGCCTTGTTTAGGACCTGGTTTAGACCTGATTTAGACCTGGTTTAGACCTGGTTTAGACCTGGTTTAGACCTGGTTTAGACCTGGTTTAGACCTGGTTTAGACCTTGCTTAGACCTTGCTTAGTCTTGTTTATAGACCTGGTTTTGAAGTGATAATCAGAAGTTCAGAATCAATCCAGAATAAATGCATTTTTTTCAGTTTCGGATTAAAATTCTATGCAGATATCAAACCAGTTTTTGGATTTAATTTGCATTTATGGACACTGACAATAACTGAAGGTGGAGGAAATGCATTTATATGAATATCTTAAGTTATTGATTAAAGGTGCATTGTGTAACTTTTTTGGAGGGTGGTTCTGTTTATCTCCATGGACAAGTTGTTGCTTTGCCTGGAATGTTACGCAGTATGGCCTAAAATATTTATATTTAGCATTTGTTTCATTACTTTTTTAAATGCACAAAATACTTTCTAACTACAGTCGTCCCTTGCTATATCGCGGTTCACCTTTTGCGGTCTCGCTGTTTTGCAGATTTTTTTTTGTGTGCAATTGTGCATGTCTTTTTTTTTTTTTACAGGGAAAGAACGTGCATTGTGTTCCTCCTGGTGTGTCCTGATTGGCTAAGGGACTCCTGTCTCCTGTACAGTACAGAATGTGTTCCAAATGTACATACATGTTTGATCTGTATCAGTGTGATTCTGAAGTGCTGTATGTTAGGAAGTTTTCTCTCCAACAAAACCCACAATGTCGACTAAACGTTCTGCACCGACAAAGGCTCCTGCGCTCGCACCCAAAAAGCAGAGGAAGATGTAACCACTGCACAAAAAGTTCGACTTCTGGACATGTTGAAGGAAGAGAGAAGTTACCCGGCTGTAGCAGAGTCCTGCACCAGGTCGGGTATCCGCAAATAGTTGCTGAAACCAGGACTTAATGTGCGATCGGGTTACAGCCACATTTACCTTCTTGAGGTGCGGAGCTGAGCCGGTCATTTCTCCTACGGCCACCTTTGAGCCTGTCTCGACAGTGAGTCCTGTTTTAGTCCTGGTTTAGTCCTCCTCTTCAGTCCTGGAATCAGTCCTAGGTTAGTAATGGCTTAGTCTTGGTTCAGTCCATGGAGTATGCAGCTCAAAAGTTTGATATAATCTCGGGTTAACGGGCGGGTGCGGTGCTGTGCGAGTCTCCAAAAATGGACCAGTACTGGACTCTGCACTGTAGTATTGTAAATTGTAAAATATAAAGTTGGCTACTTTGCCTATCGCGGGTTATTTTTAGAAAGTAACCCCCACGATAAATGAGGGACCACTGTATATTCTAAATGTGATGTTGCCTCTCCACAGATCTGACCAGTAACTTTGCCTAGTGGCATCACCTGTTTGTCTACAAGGAGATAGGTACGTCTGATGCCACTGGTGGCATGGTGGCTGAGTGGCTAACACAGCAAGAAGCTTCCGGGTTCGATCCCCAGGTCGCTCGGGCATTTCTGTGTGGAGTTTGCATGTTTCTCCGTATCTGGATGGGTTCCTCCAGGTGCCCCGTTTCCCCCATCAACCCAAAACATGTTACAGTCTCCAGGAAGAACAGCTGATAGCTCAGGTCAATTAAAAACAATCAGTCAGTGAACCTGCTCAGGGACAAGCAGGTTTATTGGAAATTAACAGTGGCGTTACAACCTGGTACAAACATCTCTCCTGTTAAAGTGAATGTATATTGTGCACTGTTCCTGTTTCATTAAATAAATAAACTAACTAAACTGACAACAAGCAGGAAGCGACAGAAATAACTGGGCAAACATAGCGCAGCTTTTAACAAGTGAAGATAGACGACTGTGATTAGAAAATAAGTTAAAAGTACCATGCAAAGTTCATATATACATATTTATATTATGATCAAAAAACAAAAAAAAACAAAACAAACAAGTGTGACTGCAAGATTAATAGTTATCAAAGTGAAATCGCAGTTTGAATCAGTGCAATTACCAAATAACAAAGACTGACATTTTTAAGTCTGCAAAACTTGAGGGGGCAGGAGGGCGACTTGGATGTACAGAGATTATGCAACATCATCCTTCTGGTGCACTTCGGTGTAGGGAGCAGTCTCAAATACAAAGTTAAAAAAGCTGAGGCACTCAAAAAGTACAAAATAATTCAAAGGCTTTAATAGCACACGGCAGATGGAGTTAAAATCACACCAACGTGTTTCGGCCCTTCACCCTTCATCAGTTCAAACTCCAGATGGCCGTCACTGTGCACATTAAAAGTCAGAGGTGTAGGTCACATGTTCACAGTGGGTTGGCCCACAGTCCCCTGGTGCATGATGGGACATGTA